AGCTTGTCTCAAAATTTCAGCCCAAAATATTGGACGTTTGGACATGAACGTCAAAACTGCTTATCCGGACATGTAACCCTTTTAAGATTTTTGGTCGATTTTTTTGTTGGTTGACCTGATAATCGATTCCCGTTCCTTTAGAGGTCTATACAGTGATTGACCCATGTGCTGTACTTGATAACGAAAGGTAAATTTCACCTACACATTATTTTTATAAAATAAAAGTCTGGTTTTATCCAGACACCGTATAATACCGGTTGGGACACCGGTCTCCATTTTCAGATGAAGACTGACAGATTTAAGTTGTTTGAAAACGTATCATATATATTGAGTTAGTTGCTCGGCTTGAGGTAGGGGATTTTAACAAAAAATTAAGCAGTTTCATTCTCCAAAATATTATCGGGATTGGCCCTTTAATAGAAAAATGAAACTAGGCCTATAAGAATTTTAGTGTGCCTTTTAGAAAGTGAATTATGACCATTCCCCAGCTTTCAATGTTGGCATGATATTCGCCTATTCCACTACGGCACTAGGCCAATGGCCTAAACAAATTATATTCTTGAAGATGGCCAGTCGCCAAGTGGAACAGCACATTGACATTGTATGCTGACAGTTAGGTGCCTGACTCTGGAGTATTCATGGGTTCAAGTTCTGTTGTAGGGCCAACTTTTTTTCAGTTGTGGATTTGCTACTTGTCCAGAGGACATGACCTTGAACTAGGCCCTGCCGCCTGGGCCTAATGACAATCAATAAGGGGGGATTAAACTTTGAATGCTTTGGCTTTAAACAAAGTACATAATAAGTATGTGTTCAAATTTGAATTGTCATGAATGTTCCACAACACAAGTACAAAACCAAATACTGACATGAATAAAAACAAAGATATGACCAAGTCGAACGTCGACAAGACGGTACACAAGCCAAAATGCAAGTTGAAAATTAGAAATTAGGAAAAAAATGAGAGGCTCTATTATCCCTGAATCGTAGTTATATTTTCTTCGTTTATTTTAACACGTGTGGTTGAAAATGGGCACTTATGAACTCCGCCCACCCCAAAGATCACCGTTGATTTGGAGTTAAAGCCTGAAATATGTACGTCATGTAAACAGTAATATAAACTAGGGAGTTATCATCATCTCCACAATAAATTGAGCAGCTGGGACCAGAAATTGTTTATTATATTTTGAATTGTATCATCAAACAACTATATCATCAACTATTAGGTACATTTATTTATTCAGAGGGTGCGAATACATGGTGGTCATTCGCTTGTGTCAGTCATAATACTTATGATTTATTTTCGTCAGGTGAATGTCAAGCAGGTAGATCCAACCACGGCAGTCTGTCGTCCAAATTCAACAGATGAATGTCTTTTTGATAATGAATGTTCTGGTGAAATGAAATATAACAAATTCTGCGTCCAGAACTTGTTTGTTTTATTTTGAATTGTATCATCAAACAACTAGAAATATCATGTATCAAAAAATAGATATATGTATTTATTCAGAGGAAAAGCCTTCTAAAGTTAGATACATGTAGTTAGCCATGTATTCAGATGGACAAACACCTGCTACAATACTTAAACTGATACACCTATTTATAATAAGTATAAAAGATGAACCGTTTGACAGTATGTCATAGTAGAACAACTATTGTCATCAATATGAATACTGTACAACTTGTTCTGGTTTGTTTTGTTGTCTCAGCCATAACCAGGATTGAACCCGGACTTTCCACGTTTATTATAATTATTTAAATTACAACGGAAATTAATTTTTGATAATAGTAATGATGATATATACACTTGGAACAAAGTTAATCACCCACTGTCAAAATATATTAAATATAATGTGAAGTCACAATACGAATACAGGGCGTCCATTCGCTTAGTAGAGCGCAAGTTGAACATCGTCATCATACCAAGTTATCTTACAGACGATCAGTACGTTAGGATTGTCATAGAATCGGTTGTAATCGTCCATTTTGCCAACCATGTACACGCTACAAGGCCAGTTTACATGGATGGCAACGCAAGACTGTCCTTCATTTTCGCAGTTCGAACAAGATCTATCGTTGCGGTAAATCCCAAATTCAAAATATATGTATATTATTTTTATATATAAAATGTTGTTATTGTGCAAGTACACATATCCAAATATTAAAATAACCCTTTAAGATGGGTTTCCAGAAAAGTATTTATCGGGTGGTTATTTCCAATAAAAGTATAGTAATTTTGGTATATATGGAAAGTAGAGATATCCAATCTTACTAGAAAAATACTGGATTCTCTGAAAAACACTCATGGAGAGTATACAGGACAAAAATGTAAGGGTTCCCCTAATCGACAGCCCGAGGATTAGGAATTTCTGCACGCGTGATGTCAAAGGTCACACGCGAACATTGAGTGCTTGATGTACAAGTTGATAAAATTAATGAAGAGTTAGACGTACAACACTTTCTGAGATAAAAAAAAACGGAAAAGGACGCGGGTAGTGGATAATCCGAGAATTTAATTAGGATTCGATATTTGTAATAAATATACTGAGCTCCATGGAAAACGCATCACTTAGTTTGTCGTATAACAAAATGATCCTGTAAACATATCTTATTTATGTTGCTTCTTATTGTGAACAATATTCAAATGGGAACACATCAATAACAACACATTTTGTACACTTATGGATGTTTAATCTGTAATCAAGGGTACAAAGTCAGAGGGGTCAAAACCAAAAGTACAACACAGACGTCAGTAGCGCGTGTGTCCTCCACGGGCCATCATCACGGTAGGCTACAGCATTAACGCGACCCCTGCAAATGTATAAGGCGGTCCGGTGATGAAATGTGAAGCCTCCCCACACCATTACACTTCCCCCACCCCATCGATTCGTTTCGAAGACGCAGCAGTCTGCAAGACGTTCCCCAAGACGTATCCTCACACGTTGACGGCCATCAGCGTGATAAAGATGAAAGCGACTCTCATCACTGAAGAGCACACTTTGCCAGTCTACTCTTCTCCATGTCTGGTGTCCTTGAGCCCATATCAAACGCCGCTGACGGTGATGATCCCTGAGGATAGCTCCAACATAAGGTCATCGTGCACGGAGTCCTACTTCTCTTAGACGACGTCTTACGGTGTTGGCACTTACTGGTCCTTGTCTTCCGACGACTGCTGCATCTGTTCGAGTCGCTGGGCGGAATCTGTCACGCAGATGAGTGACCCGAATGTAGCGGTTTTGAGCCTAGGTTGTAACCGTTGTGAACCAGGACGTTGACGGTCACGTGTTGATCCAGTAACTCGAACATGTTCTACCAACCTTACAAAAGTGGACTGATGACAATTGAAGTGTCTGGCAATAGCACGTGTAGACATGCCAGCCCTGGACATTCCCATGGCTTCATTCCGTTGATATTCAGTAAGTCTCGGCATCGCTAGCTCGATTCCTTCACACGTCCAACAACAAATTACGACAGATTGACGTTTCACAGTTCATGTACTGCACATTAAGTTGAAAACATGTTTTTAAAGGGCTCACACACAATGCTGCACGTGAATATTGGGTTTTTCATGTGCATCTCGTGCAATTTTTTTTTGCACACGGGGCGATATTTTTTGCGTTTGGGAGCATTGTGTGAAACAATAGTTCATAGTATTGCATAATATTATACAGACAAAACCACCTAGTAATAAAATATTTGGGAAAAAAAGTGATGCGTTTTCCATTGCGCTCAGTATAGTAAGCGATTAAGACAACGTCGTCTTATGTATGCAATGAATTCTTCTCCGACTTCCAAGAGAGGTAAGTCACGTGACGTAAACATGACCTGGTTTGATCGAATTTTTATAGCAGGACATTCCTTCGCAATTACAATGTTTGAGAAGGATTTGAAGCAAAATTATGACCCATTAATTAGTTTGAATAGGTTTTTAGTCCACATATACCATTAAATCACCCAGTTTGTACGCGGGAACCCATCTTTAATTTAATATTTGACATATCCAAGACACATAATGCTAGCATCATCTTTTAAGATATTTTAAATTTTAAAATTAAGTGTGTTTTATTTGTTTTCAGAAATTTTCGCAAAACAAACCTGGCAAGTTGTCTTTCTCACAACACGCCAGTAACATCATTATTTTACTTATTTGACAACTTATTATTGTTTACATTTTTGAACCTTTATAAAAATTGAGGAAGGACGATTTGCAAACATAACATTGATAACGAAGGGGTTCGATATTTTAAAGGTTGGTGATATTAGATCGCCACATAAGGCAAGTTAATGCTGACCAACATCAATGTGTAGTCGTAAAACCGTATCCATATATTGTCCGTAATATACTCCCATATATGATATACATTATTCAAACTTTCTTCCAACCATGGGCCTGGATTTAGGGGGGACGGGTGCCCCCTTAGAATCGGAAGGGGGACGAATAGGTCTCTGCCCCCCCCCCCCCCTGATTTTGATCGCCAGGACAGATTTTCAGTTTTATATCTACTGAATCAGGTTTGGAACAAGAATTGGCATTCTTCAAGCGACAGTTTTCAGCCAAATCTATTTCATTTGTGCGCGAAGTGTTCCTAAGTATGTCATCTGAAGTGAGACAGATGTTCCCCTCTGTCTCTGTCCAAGCTCCTCTCCGTCTCACACTGCAGAACCCGGCTAGTTCCTGCTCAGCCGATTTGGTAAGTAAATCTTAATTGTTAAAGTTATAGGTAATAATTGTTGGCGTCACATTAGTTTGTAGCCGTTATAAGATAATTGTATCCCAAACACAGATGAAAAAGTTGTTGGTGGGTGTATTTCTCACTGCCTGACAATCTTACTTTAAAACATTTTGTATGGGTATTGTCATAAGTAGTGATGTTTGTCCTGTCAAGAGAAGGTAATGCGTACTACATTCCGTCTTAAACAGGTACCTTGAAATGATTAAGTCAACTACGATATTAAGTCTAAACTTTTATTACAGTAAACCGTTCAAGGCATTCGACGTCCGTTCTGGAGTTTGTATGATCACACATCATTAGACATCTTAATAAAAATATTGTGGATATTGCTCACGGATCCATTCATCGAAGCTTAATGGTGTTCGACAGTATTTACCGCATGCATCGTCACAACATATTTCATCAGCAGAGCAATTAGCATCAGTCTGACAAACATCTTCTACTGCAGCACAAAATACTACAGTTGGATCTAATGGAGCTGGACATAAACCTGAAGATAACAAAACATCATATTAACATCAGAAAGATGAGACACTTTTTTTCTGTACCAGGCTATCCGCCCTGTACAACTGACAAGGGTGAACCAGGCCAGGAAACCCCAAAGAACTTTCGTGACCAATACCGGGATCAACCCGGAAGACCTGATTATTGTCCCATCGCCAAACATAGCGAGTTACCGTGGGTCCCAGGCAATTACATAATTTTATTTTTGGGATTGAGCTATATCTGACTTGAAAAGTGTCGATATGAATATCTTATATAATATAAATAGTAAGATTCGAACCCAATAAAACATGGGGATATTAACAAGAGAGGGGAAATGGACTAGAATATGGTTCAATTTTATTTCAATAATTCCCTTACGCGTAGGCGTCTTTATTTAGGAAGGAAACCGGGCTACCCGGAGAAAACCCACGAGGTTGGACAGGCGACTCTACTCCTGGCTACGTAAAAGTGTGGATTGGAAACCATGCCACTTGACTCAATAACAGATATTATGATCTAAAGCGCACCCAATCGCCGTATTTCTGCTTGGGGAGTTCACAATGCTTACAAATTTTTGCTTTACTTTTGCATTGTACATTTCAACACATTTTAGATTTAATATACTTACTGTTTCTGGAACGTGCATATATCTGAAAGCCAAAAAAAGAGAGGTTTATTTAGTTTCAGCTGAAATAAGATTAGTCTGTTTATTTCATCAAATATGGAAGAAATAAGCGAAGCGTTCCTAATAAAAAATATTAATATGTATATTTTGTTGAACGATGCATTAAGTTTATAACAGAAATTCCAATAGATCATTACATATTTGTAATGACGTATCGTTTATCTCTTGGATTATAATTTGACTTACTTATTATTTTTATTAAACAAAACCATTTTATTGGTTCAAAATGATGAATGAGTTATACTTTAGTAATCGAATGAATCAGATAATGTTAATGGCTTGTAATCTATAATTGATGAATCAATTATGTTCTATAACTTCTAAGGACGTAACCTGTACCCACGGTGTACTAAAGAAATTAACTTTAATAAATTGAGCGATGTGGTGACAGCTCTAGAAAATAAAAAATAGCCTTATTCTAAGTACTAGATGTGTTAGTGTCCTACCTGTTGTGTGAATTATCCATTAAATCTTATTTTACTTGTCCAGAGGGTTCAAAAATATTTTTAAATCCAAGTCACATTTGAAAAGCTTTACGTCAGACTTTTCAAATCATTTAGTTGAATTTTTCCAATTTTTTAAATTAGGTGTGTTAAGATGAAATTTGTATCCTCAATTAATTGGAATATTGTAAAATAGTACAATTTGTTGACCAGAATAAAGATTGGGACATATTATTCAGTTCCAACAAGAGTGGTATTGAGCCTTTAAAAAGAATCAAACATTTTGATTGTACATAGTTTTAAATGTTTGTAAATTGCAAATAAACATCGTCTCCAACATAATCTATAATTGGTAAATAAGATAACGTTAAAGGAAAGTAATCTATTGGTAAATCAGATAACGTTGAAGGAATGTAATCTATAATTGGTGAATCACATAACGTTAAAGGAATGTAATCTATACTTGATGAATCAGCTTATGTTAAAGGAATGTAATCTATAATTGGTGAATCAGATAATGTTAAAGGAATGTAATCTATAATTGATAAATCCGTTATATTCTAATTATTTCATCCACTCTCTTTGTAAAAACGCCAGTATCTACTGTTCAATCTATTCGTGAAAACCCTTTTAGGGATAACGTCCGCTTGACAATGCAGATCCTAGAAGAATGGTCCATAATGTATATCCAGATGCCTGCAGCCTTCATAAACTTTGGAAGTGCAAAGTAGACAAATGGAATATAAGATAAAACCCCAATGAATGGTTAATTTTAAACACTACTTACCCAAACAGGCCCAACAGCAACAAGACAAACCAGAACCAGACAAAGTTGTACAGTATTCATATTGATGGCAATAGTTGTTATACTATGACATAATGTCAAACGGCTCATCTTTTATACTTATTATAAATATATGTAGGTGTATCAGATTATAAATTAAAACAGGTGTTTATCTATCTCAACACTTGACTGATGTTTATATATTTAACTTTATAAGGTCATTTTACTACGAATCAATAAAATGTATCTAATTTTTGATATATGCAAGTAATTGTAGATTTAGAATGGACGCTAACCAAATAGAAATTATTTACATATTGAGATGTCCTGTATCGGAACTGATTCAGAAAATAAACATTTATTTTACGGTGTATTGATCTTGCAGATGGGTGGACAGAAATCGCTTCAAGTTTGTGTGTAGTTTGTGATTTAACAAAAAAAATAAACAGGTTTTTTTTTAAGTAAAGTCCTAGAATTAGGCGGTGGAATTAAATTACATATTGCACAGTTCTAAGTTGACCCATATGTTGAAAGGTGGAGACATAATACAAGATTTTCAAGAATCCTTAAACATTTTGGTTAACCCCATTTCTTTACCTGTTATTGACGAAATGCCTAGCTGGATAAAACCGTAGACGGCCGTACCGTTGGCATGTATAAAACATAGGATCGGAACCATGACTTAATTAGATGTGAGGCATTGTGATATACAACCAATAAAGGAGTTATCCGTCTAATTTTTGTAATATGTAGAAATATGAATTGTAATATTTTTAAAGATGTCATCTTGTAATTATCTGGGTAAGCAATCTATTGTCCATGTGACCCTTTGATACAATTGTAGTCGTTTCCGGAAATATTCCGCCGGTTTCGCAATATGACTTTCCAAATGGCCATACTAATCGACACCTCGGAAGTTAGTTCCACCCGAAAGACAGGGTTCTTTGCCCTGTCTGGCCCCTGTCCAACACCACTGAAAAGGGTAAATCAGACATGAAAATAACGATAGCTTCTGCGGCCAACAGTCTTTATGGAGAGAGAGAGATGGGGTTTAACGCCCACTCGACACAAACTAGGTCATTTCGGGACTAACATGGTTCAATTTTATTTCATTAATTCGCTTGCGCGTAGGGGTCTTTAGCAGTGGGAGGAAACCGAAGACCCGGGATTCGAAACCACGCCAGTTGACTCAATGACAGGCCGTGTGATACAGCACGCACGTGCTAACCATTCGCCCCCCCCCCTCCCAGTCGTTATGGACCTTGTCGCACAAGGCGAAAAAGGGCTATTTGCCCTAGTAATTTGGTAAATAAATCTTTATATTTATTTGTTAAATTACGTTTATTTTAACACGTGGTGGGGAAAATGGACACTTTTTTTTATAAAAAAAAATATGTAAAATCTGAATTTGCATTGGCAAACAGGCAATGCCTATGTGTAACCCCTCTCCTTGTTTTAGATACATGTACACATAAATTATAGACATAATTATATAGTATACCTAATGGACAATCTAGAGATATATTTTTTATAAATATTTTAGTCGGTAGAAATACATTAAAAATGGACAATTGACCCACACGCCACACATAAACCCTATCTACTCCAATGACCACCCTTGATTTGGTATATTGTACATGATTAAATCCTGAAATATGTACACGTAGTTAACATTAAATATTAACTCAAACAAGGGGATATGATGATGTAAGCCCCCAAAAACATGTTTATTTTATTTTGAATTGTATCATCAAACAACTAGATATTGATGTATCAAAAATTAGATATATTTATTTATTCAGAAGCAGAATCTTCTAAAGTTATATAAATAAAAAATAGCCATGTACTCAGATGGACAAACACCTGCTTCAATATATAATCTAATACACCTACATATAATTATTATACGTATAAAAGATGAACCGTTTGACTGTATGTCATAGTATGTCAACAACTATTGTCATCAATATGAATATTGTACAACTTTGTCTGGTTCTGGTTTGTTTTGTTGCTGTTGGATCTGCTCAGGTGTGTATTAATTACTATCTCCGGGGTCGAACCCGGACTGATACTTTATTAAAGTGAAAGTAGCTATGTCTCTAACTCAATATCATCCAAAATCTTCGACATTGAAAACACGATTTATTTGTCGCTTTATATCAACATTGATGTTGTGATCTTACCGGGAAAAGATGGGCTTTTGATATCCAATATTTAAGACAAAATAAACATTTTACAATTGGTACACGAATCGTGTACCATAATGCGTTTCAGTGCTATTTGTAATAATGGACTCGAAAAACGAGGCTAGGCATATTCCACAAGTCATGTCAAACGGTGACGCTATATTCTTATCTGGAGAGCAAGCCCAATAAATACTATCGGCGTAGACTAGAAAAACCAGACGCTAGACATTGAAATTCGATTGAGAACATTGGCGTATTTCGCCGAACCTAACTGATTAGAAATTACAGTAACAACAGAAACGATTGAATGTAAATCAATTTATATACATTCATATTACATTTTTGCATGCGTTGCGACCTATTTGTGTCAATTTCTAGTTCCCAAAAGTTAGCGACTTAGCTCCTTTAAAGCAAACATTAATATTTGAAGATAATAATGGCGGTAGGCCTATACACAGCTGGAACAAAATCAGGCACTCCCTTGTCAATATGAACTAAATAAAAGTCTTATACTTTCGAGTTTCATATTAATGCTGAATTTAATAAATAATCATCTTTCCTACAAACAACTGATTCTTCATGAGTGACTACAATGCTGCCATATTGTACACTGGCATAAATAGGATATATCGGTTTCTTGTAATATCGACATATTCTTAGTGGGGTTGGCGCGACGTAGATTGTCAGAAATACAAGTGTGACAGAAAACTGGTATTCATTCGACTGGAATGTCCTTCAAAACTATTAGTAGTCAACTAGGTTTCCATCACACGGTCAACAGGAAGGGTCATCAAAGATGCCTTACTGCAAAATGCCCATCAGAGCATACGCTTAACATTGTGTTCAGCACTACGGGGCTGGGATCTGAAGACGTGGCTGAGCAGGGTGAAAGCAGGTTTCTGCTCCACCGCAAGGATGGACAAATGAATTACTGTGATAAGGCACAAAGTTATTCTTTATACACCTATAATTAGCCTAAATCATTCCGTACGGTGGAGACTAAGTCATTGGTGTAAGAGAATGTCCCACACAATGCAAACTTGAAGGCGAGTACAAATGCATTGTCCTGGAAACGGTTGTAATCCCCAATTTTGACAAGGTCTGAGGACAACGCCCGACTTCATCGTGCCCGCGTTGTACTGGCCTACCTTCAGTTTCACTGTTCGATCATTCAAAATATATGTACTATAAACTGTTATTATTGTGAAATTAAGCGTAGCCATGAATTCTAAGAAACCGCAATTTAATCTTTGACGTAAGATAGCGTTACCTTTAAAAAATGGGGGTGGGGAATGACTTAACGCGTGCGCATCATTTCGATTCCTCGCTTGTGCGGGATAAGAAGTATGGTCGGCTGTGCAGCTTTATGAATTTTCACTGGATCCTTCGGTTTCCCTACTGCTAGAGACCCCTAACCGCAAAAGAATTATTGAAATAAAATTGAACCATTTTTTATCCCTAAATGACAAACTTTGTGTCGAGTGGACATTAAAACTCTTTGCACTCCCACCCCCTACTCTCTCTCTCTCTCTCTCTAAGAAACCAATCTAATCTTTAAATGGCAAACATGTTTTTTGTAAATACCTTTGATTACGGACGGTCTTTTAACTCTATATTAAAACTCTATTCGGCTATGTTGATATTTTAAATCTTAAAATTAAGATTATTTGCTTTCAGCGATTTTAACGATCTAAACCTGGTAAGTTGTCTTCTCCACACATCGTCAATGATATGCTCAATTTAATAACTGTGTACGAGGGTATTACTTATTTTTATGAACCTAAAACAGAAAATCTCTTTGATCTTTGGGGTATATTCTATGTCGGGAATAACTTGCGGCTTTGGATATATACAGGGGAATCTTGGGTTATTCTTCTGAAAGTTTTGCTTTAAACCTTTAACGGGTTATTCTTCCAGGATATGTTTTCCCATAAGAAAACATGATATAAGGTTTTTCCTACGGGAATTCTGAGATATTCTCATTTTGCGTACATGTAAACATAGACGGCTTATAAGCAAGATAAAGTCTCCGACTTAGGTTATACTGGGAAAGAAAGACTTCAGACCGACCTCGGGTTTTTTTTTTCAGTCTTTCTTTCCCCAGTCTCGTGCTTTATCCTACATATATAGAATTTCACAGGTTGGTTTGTAGATCCGGTGAAAGTCACCGTGAACTGTGGAGTCCAACATATAGCCACAATACGCATTATGATGCACATTATTCAAACTATCTTCCAACATGTAGCGATACGTGAAATTGTACAGGAGGGTATATAATCCCATTTTCACGCTTCTGTAAAAGTAGGAAAATCTTTAACTCAGTATCATCCACAGTCTTCGACATTTCAAACACGACATATTGGTCAATTTAAATCAACATTGATGTCGTTATCTTACCGTGAAAAGATGGGCTCCTGGTATCCAATATTAATTAAGACACAATAAAACATTTTAAACTTGGCACACTGATCGCGTGCCAGAATGCCTTCGAGTGCCATTTGTAATGAAGTGACTGAATGAACGAGCCTAAACATATCCCACAAGGTAAGACTATCGCGTTAGACTGGGCTAAGCAGACGCCAAAGACTGTCATTCAATGTAAATCCGTTTATATACATTCATATTACATTATTATATGCGTTGCGACCCAGTTGTCTCCATTTCTAGGTGCCAAAAAATAGCGATTTAATTCCTTTAAGTAGAGCCTAAAATGTCTTTCATTAATTTGTGTTTGATATATAATAAAGGTCGATGCCCTGGTATAAGAAACCCGTATTCAACATTTTATGGTCCCAATGCTAGAAACGTGTGATTCTGATAATGATTGTCCTGATGAACTGAAATGTTGTGATGGTCCTTGTGGAAGAGGATGTGATCTTTCTACACCTCAATCACAAACTAAAGCCGGTAAATATAGTTAATTCAATGTATCACAAAATACTATATATATTTATTCTTATAAGGATATGCATCTTCAATGGTTTATCTATTTAAAACATTTACGTGTTAATGTTCTTATTAGTGATCTAATGAGGTCATGTGTGTGCTTCCAAAATGTATTTTTTACCCAACGTTGCACAGGTAGTATTTGTTACAACGATTGTGATTACCATCACGTTTTTAAAATTGCATAATTTGTATTTATTCTTTTCGAAGTTATAGTGCCTATAGTCATGCCTAGATACTAAATTTACGTTGTATTTTCAAAGATTTCAATGAGAGATTATACAACAGTACCACAGGGAAAACATTTGTAAACAGAGAGTGTCCTGTCTTAATTTTAAAAATTATTTGATCTTGTGTCAGTTATATATATCTTATTATCTTCAGGTGAATGCCCAGCTCCGATAGATCCAACCACAGCATTCTGTCTTCCAAATTCAACAGATGAATGTCTTCTTGATAATGAATGTTCTGGTGAAATGAAATGTTGCACCGGACCGTGTAATGACAAATTCTACGATTACCCGAATTTCATAAAAACACCCAATCACCCGTTCCATAACATCATCGATTGGCTACGCCAGAGATATCCAGCATATTTCAACCAATTCTAGATTTAGATTAAACAGATGCTAAAACGAAATTAAGCCGAAGCCTTACGATAATAAAACTTACAACTGAAAGGGACAATAACACTCTTGCTGGCTTGACAGATCCAGGAAATAAAAAATAGCCTTATTCTACGTACGAGATGTGTTAGTGTCTTACCTGTTGTGTAAATTATCCATTAAATCCTATTTTACTTGTCCAGAGGGTTCAAAAATATTTTTAAATCCAAGTCACATTTGAAAAGCTTTACGTCAGGCTTTTCAAATCATTTAGTTGAATTTTTCCAATTTTTTAAATTAGGTGTGTTAACATGAAATTTGTATCGTCAATTAATTGGAATATTGTAAAATAGTACAATTTGTTGACCAGAATAAAGATTGGGACATATTATTCAGTTACAGCAAGAGTGGTATTGAGCCTTTAATACAATATAGTCTTTCCTGCACTAACCTGGTAAATGAGAGGGGCATTATGGAAGATACGATACTTCATTCTGGGCCAAGTTATCACTGTTTGTAGTTTGGACAAGATGTGTGCATTGTGGTAACCAGGGCACTGTCATATTTCTGACTTGACCTCGCTTTCTCATGGTTCGACATTCTAATCTAGTTAAATCTGGAGTATCCGACCCCATCGAGAGTTGATTATGGCCTTGTTTTGCTATTAATGTCCCATTAATACATCTAGTATATATATAACATTTCAGACCTACAGAAAGACGTGCAATAGGCAGACTTAGCTTCTGCATAAGTTTTGAATATCTCATTTGTATACATGTATCTTTTAAATTACAAGGCTTGCACAAGAGTTTGGATTCCCAGTTCAGAAAAAACAATATGAAACTCGAGATACTAAAATTGTATTTATTCTTAAATATCTGAACTGATTATAGGTTTAGTTTAATGGGTATCGTACAGACGATGCCTGATAACTCTCAAATTGTACCCGTAATTTATAGGTTAACAATTAAAATATAATTGTACTTAAACGATTTAATTCCATGTTGTCTAATTACAATCATCTTCGCTGGATTCTTTAGAATTTCTTTCATCTGAATCTGGTGTACTTTCCTTACTTTCTCTGCTTTCTGGACATTTTCTTGGTTTCTTTCCGGCAGATGTTCTAAAACTGCTAGTTTGAGAACCATACATTCCGTTTATGTCAAGCTGGCCGACATTTGAGATTGTTCCACCAGCAACATTGTTTCCTGCATTAGTACTTGTAAACACTGAAAAATAATAAAATATCAACGTAGGCCTATTTCAATGTTTAACTCTCATGCTAGGTCCCAACTGCCGTGCGATGCTTTCCGATATGATTATCCCTACTGAGTTCATGAAACGTTCGGATACGTTTCGATACGATCAACACGATTGCTACGACTGACGACAAAATATGATAACACCTGGTATGGTCACTGTTAGTCTGAGTATATAACCATGTAAAGTGTAACAGGCTAAGCCTCACTGTGGTCACGTGGTCATATACGTAGGCATATTTCCCCGGGTTTATTCTGTAGTGTAGTAATAAAGCTATGAAGCGAAGCACATGTGTTGTGTGTATATAATGTCATTAATGACTGATAAGACGCTCGCAAACCCCGAACATTACAGTCACCACAAAACTACGATTTCAATCGTGGTGCAAATCGGGATAGTGGGAACCTAGCATTACATAATAAGTGTACGCTTGTAATGCGTCGTCACGTCTTCATATCCCGGCTGGTGCAGAAGAGTAGGACGTTAAGTCATATCTATTAAGGATGCATCAACCGCCAAGTCCGAAACATACTCAAGTGTGGCTATTGTAGTGACGGACAACATGCACAAGACATGATATTTTCGCTCTTTATAGAACACCTGCTACCACTTTTTATTTGTGTAATTCACATAGCTGTCGGGTGACTGCTGGTGACCTATCCAGGAATTTTTAATATGCATTTAAAGATCTTTATCATCGGGGCTAACAAAGATGCAGTGTAGCGTGACGAAATTTTAAATTCACGTCATCGTGTACACGGGACCTAGGGTTTTTTTTCTCGTGTCATCGGAATGACTTGACAATGATCCCTACAATATACATGTATTCATTTTGTATTATTTATTTTTTGAACTATTATAGCAAGAACGACCAGTTCTATATCCAAATCTTACATACTCTATCTTTAAAAGCGATAAAGAATGTGTGAAACCAATGAAATGAGATTTAACGTTCAACTGTTCTGCCCCAACTGGGCCAATGAAGACGGGCATACGTCATACAGTGTGCAATGAGGTAAATTTTGCCCGGGCAAGACTATGGCTTACTTTATATCGAATTCCAACTGCAAAAGGGATCTTTTACGTGCATGCAAATGTATACACGGGGCTTCGCTATTACGTCCCATCCGAACGTACTGCATCACTGACAAGGAGAACTCACGTTGTAAACCCGATGAATTTTTACGGCCAATGCAGGGATCGAACACGCAACCTCCAGACTAGCGACCCAGTGTCTTACCCACCGTGAAACAAATAGAAACTAAGGTAACCTTAAAATGGTCTTAAATTACAGGATTTAGCCATTTATAACCAGAGCAGAGGACATGTTTTAAGAGGTTCTGGGGGTATTTTTTTTTGACGATGAATAATGTCATATTGTTGGGGTTTTTTTTCAGAAATAAAAGGAACGTTGTGTGGTCTTATAGTGAGTCAGGTGGCGTGACAAACTGATTAAAACACAGTGTTCAAAATTTTGTTTTACTTGTCTTTACTACTCTAGAAACTGGAACAGTTGTTATATTACCGGCGTTTTGGTTGAAGTGAGGGATTGGCCAATGAAACAGTCTGTTCCGGCAAAATCTTTGGGTACAACCACTAGAAACGTCAACGCTGATTGATTAATCAGTCTGACGGCATAGAGTCAAAAGCCGCTCGTACAACCCGTGACACGACCTTCCAGGTGATCAAAAGTATAAAAACAAACAAACGAAACGAAATATAGATCTGTATTTTAATCAGATTGGAGGCGTGATTTCGATCCAACACGTGTACAGGGTCAACACGTGTACAAGGAGCAAGGCCGCCTGTCACGTCTCTGTGTTCCTGCTACTGCTAAAGACCTTTACGCGCAAGCGAATTATTGAACTAAAATGGATCATATTAATCACAATATTTTTTGTTGCGAGGACGTTAAACCCCATCTTTCACTCAAAACCACGCCACTTGACTTGATGACAGATCTTATGATTTAACGCGCCCGTGTGGAACCACTACCCAACCAAATGAAATGAAATGGGGTTTAACGTCCTACTGTTCTTTCTTCGGACTACCCAATCAAACAAAGTAAGAATTATAGTTGTACAAATATACTTACATGCTGTTGAAACAATAAGAAACACAGCTATATAAACACAATTCTTCATTGTAAAGCTTTCGTGAATTTATTCAGAAATGAGACATAACATAGTTCATCTTTTATTATATAATGAAAGCAGTTGTGAGGAATTTGGGAGGAATAGTTCGTTTCAGTTAGATAATCATGGTTGAAAATTTTACCTACCAAATACCCAAAGGTCACTTCTGAACATTTAACCTCATAATAGGTTATCTTTATATTTTATTTCTTTCATCTGTACAACTACGGCTTACTGTAACATAGCTTTAAGTACAGACTTATTTGTTTAAGAAATCGACGACCTTTCTGGCCATAACGTAAGAGTTATAGCTTTAAAACATAATTGCATTTTCTAAAGTCATATGTTTAAAAGAATTAAAATACATAGATAGACAGGCCCACCTTGTTAAAGAATAAATCCTGTTCATCCTATAATCCACTAGTGTCTGTTGAGAAATTGGCAAAACGTCAAGCTTTTGAAAGTGTCACAATGGGTAGTCTACATCATTCAGACAAATATTCTACGAATAATAGTCTGTATGGGTTGTCAACATTTGAAAATAACTAGGTCATTATTGGCTCGGTTTTACGGTTATTTACATTATCATAATGAAAATCCAAGGGAGATAACTAGACGTAAAACAAGATGTCGATACCCATGAAATTAATTCAAGAATTGCCATTTCAGAAAATCCATTTGCATTGCGAGTTCAATATCCAACACTCTTAATTTTTTGTTGTTAAATTTCTCTCTTCATGGACTATATCTCTGTGTTTTTAATTAGTCCTAATTCGTCGTCACGATTCATGTTTGTTTATAATAATGCGTGAATTATTATGGGATTTATTTAAGGAAAGGTTGCAACTCTTACTTGACTTAGCGAAATTTACTGAATAATCAACCACATAAAAAAACAAATTCCCGGTTACGCATGGGCCATGGAACTTTTAAGCTAATGTTGACAACTGACCCAAACCCTCCGTACATTCAAGGATATGAGGTTCTGTATGAAACCCGACTCTCACTATGTTACATACGTGCACGCAATCAGCGATGTTCTAGTGTGTATAAGGGTCCAACATGGAGAGAGAGAGAGAAATGGGGTTTAACGTCCACTCGACACAAACTAGGTCATTTCGGGACTAATATATGGTTTAATTTTATTTACATAATTCGCTTGCGCGTAGGGGTCTTTAGCAGTGGGAGGAAACCGGAGGCCCCGGAGAAAACCCACGGGGTTGGACAGGCGACCCTACTCCTTGCCACGTACAACCGGGGATTCGAAACCACGCCAGTCGACTCAATGACAGACTTTATGATACAGCGCGCGCACGCCAACCATTCAGCCATCCAACCCCCCGTCCAACATGGAAATAGTCAATCAATCAGTGTTACGGCGAAACTCAAGAATATACATTGTTTTTGTTTGTACAAGTTGTTCCTTTCTTATAACGGTCACTAATCTGTTATATCACGTTTTGTAAATATTTTAAGCACTAAAAATATTGATTGTCATTTGGTGAAGTCTCTTTCAAGTGCTGTACCAAACGAACTGATCTCTTCAATACCTTGACTTATTCGTTATAATCTGAAATCGTTTTATGACATTTTGTTTCGTCTGAACGTCACATTTATTTATTTTATTGTTTCTGCTCACACCACATCAATTCTCTTAATTAGGAATTTTCAGTATCTTTCGAACTGACAATCGAGAACTATCATAATGTTAAATCTTATAAAAGTGTTAATGTCCAACATCGTTTTTTCATTATTATTGTTATAACTATTGTCATTTTTTGGAACATTATATCTGTTGAATCTTGGTAACTGTGATTGTTGTCTGTATAGTGAAGTTGTTGTTTTCATCAAGAAATCCATTTTGTTTATCAGAAAATCTATTCCAGTCTATAAATCTAGGCCAACCTCTCCTTTTACCAGGTGGATATGTATCACTATGTTCTGCCCTTTTCAGAGATTGATGTTTATCTTTGTTATTAACCAGTGTTACCACGCGTTCGGCCTGACACGATATAATATCAGCTGTTTCTGGGTATTCGTTTAGTCGGAGATAAATACCTAGAGATGGAGGAATGTTTGTAGTTATTTTTTCAGCGTGAATACACCACGGTAACCCTTTAATACAACAACACATCTCAACATCAAGTCCATCGAAATGTAAACTTGTTGTAAAAGTCGAGTGTTCTTGGAAAAGTAAATCTCCGAGTTGTTTTGCTATCAGTGTTTTATCAATCGCTGATTCTTCGAACCACGTGCATTTAACATCAGGAATATCCAACTTTCTTAAACGGCCCCTTTCTATGAGTCCCTGAATTTGTGATTTTATGTTTAAAATCTTGACGATAGATGTATCTTCTACAACACAATTACGGCTGGATTTTAAATCTTCTATGATTATTTCCACCTCGTCCTGACGTTTGGTCATTTTATCTACTTCCTCATCACGTGATTTTTTAATTTGAACTTTGATTTCTTCAGCTTGATTCCTGACTTCACAGCAGATTTTGCCAACTTGCTTGTCGACAGCGTCACAAGATGTTTGAGCAGAGTTTTTAATATCTGAAATAAATTGTTTTATGGAACCGAGACATTTATTATATTCTACGAGTAGTGATTCAAGATCAAATTTTAAGTATATCAAACTTTCTCTCTCTTCATCTGTTTTCGATTTATCCTGTAAATCAGTCATTTTATGTGCTAGGTGATCTGTTACAAAACAATCGGAACAAACAGCTATTGAACAACTTTTACAATAGCATCTCACTTCTTTCTCTGTGTGATTTGGACACAGATCTTTCTTAGTAGTAGTGGAATTATCTTTTCTTGGCGTCTCAAAAGCACCTATCACAACGTGGCCACGGCTCAATTTGAAAGAATCGTGTGTTGTTTTACAAGACTTACACATATATTGTTCACAGTTCTCGCACCTGAATACGGCATCAACACCTGTTTTACAAACATCGCATGGTGGACCTTTAATAGTAGAAATACCACTCTCCAACTTCTGTTGCACATCTTTTGTATTGCTACTCCCCATATTGAATACACTAAGAAACATTTAATGGATGTGGTCAGTTTTTAAAGTCGATATTATCTTCGCAATTTGAAATCACTATCCCACCATCCAATTTATAATACACGTATATGTTGTATGTTTAACTCAACCAATCTTATTTAATGATGTGCAGTTGTTTGGCGTTGACGTACATAATAGATTCACTATCTATATAGGTCACTGGTAAGTTAATCACTTGTAAATATACATGTACGATTACCAATTATAACAGATTCACGGAGACTGGTGAATATTATAATAAAAATGAGTTTAAAATGGATAACGGTTTCTCGGAGAATGGTGAATATTTTGATAAGTATGTCTCTCTTAAACAAGCTCGAAATGAAATGAAACTGATTTAACGTCCTACTGGTTAATAGGCTATATCCCTTAAAGCACACCGAATGGGCTAATGAGAACAAGCATACGCCATACAGTAGCGGTACCGCGCTCTACTCTTATTTCGAATTCCAACTGTCAAGTAGCCGTTCGGATGGGACGAAAAACCGAGGTTCCGTGTACATATTGACGTACACGTGAAATATCCCTTGGCAGTTGGAATTCGATATAAGAGTAGTCCGTAGCACCGCTGTCCTGGCAATTTTCCCTCCTAGCACATTTTATGGCGTATGTCCGTCTTCAGTAGCCCAGTCGGAGCAGAACACGAAACCCCATTTCATTTCATCTGTCAAGGGTTTGTTTACGTGCACGCTAATGTGAACACGGGGCCCCGGTTCTTAGTGACATCCGGACGACTAGATGTTGTCCCTTGCCTGGCCCTCCGCCAATGTGGCCTGCAGAATGAGTACTACAAACAAAATGTGTTTACGAACCGATAGGGGCAATGGCAATATCATAATGGAAGAATCACGTTCCAGCAATTTCCATAGCAGACCAGTTGTGAACATAGATGGATATAGCTTAATGTCGAAGCGCTTCAAGCCAAAGCATGATATTCGGCAAAATACACAATGAAGAACACACTTCAATTCTAGTCACCCCATCGTGTGTCAGAATGCGAGGTTCCATCAGATTTTCTGTGCCCTGGAGTCTCTCCGTGATGATTGCAGGCTTGTTCTGGCTAATACTAAAATACAATAGTTCAAGCTCTTGAAAATATGTAGTACTATGCGTCGCTGGTTAGATGAGGAAAGCACAATTACCCAAAAACTCCCCACATCCATACTCTACACATTTTATTAGCCTTGTGATCGTCTAATATTCACCTCTGGTTATATTTGTAATTTTCTTCCTTTGGCTAGGACCCCTTTTCACGTTGTGTATTTTCTTACTATCTCAGTAGTTAAGATGTTTATCTAACATGGACATCAATGGAACACAGCATGTCAGAATACTCAATGCCGAAAGTACTAGATGTAGAGTACCGGAATCTGCCGAGTGTGTATATGACGTGAGAAACTCAAATACCAAACGCTTTTACAAGAGATTAATTAAATTATCAAGGTAATTAACAAAGACCATCCTCGGTTACCCAGTGTACTAGTTCCGTTCTACTCCACTATAGCCTGGGTTAATCTATAGGGTTTCCACGATTTCAAATTATCTGCCCTGGCCTAGAATGTAGCTACAGTCTACGAACCAATCAGAAAACAGTTTACAAACCAATCGTTTCGCCTTCGTTTTTATAAGGGTAGATAACCATATTCATGGCCATTTACTGAATGATTTATGTAAATAATGTATATATTTATAATTTATTTATATTGAATTATATTATCAAAATCTGTAGTATGTTTCGCTGATTTCAAATATGTATAACATCTATATGTTTGATTTTTGTTATTATTACTATTCGTTCTTTGTCTGAAATATGTCATTCTGTTACGTTTATTATTATTGAACTTATACTTGGCAATTTGATTCACAATAACTTGTCTACGATATGACGTGGACATAAAATTCCGGGAACGAACGAACGATTCTAAATAAAACTAATGACCCTACATTATTATATGAACTTCTGGTCTTCATTAACATAATATATAATTGGTTGTTAATAATTACGCATTTAGAATAGGCCAACTCCTAACATTGTCCGATGAGAGTTACTTACCTTTGCCAACTTCCCTTTTCAAATAACAATTTATGGGATTGGTCGATAAAAATAGCACAATCATCAAGGGCGGTTAACTTGAAAACGTGTCTCCCCCATAGATTAACCCAGGGTATAGTGGGTAACCGAGGATGAACAAAGACCGACACCGGGTGATTACTTGTCGGTTAACACCCACTGAGTGAAGGCCGGATTATCCAATGTTAATACAACGCAATTACGTAATTAATACAAGTCCCGATAGGAACTGTCAGTGGACATCGTCCGCTCAGACAGTCCCTAGGAACTAGCGTAAACATTGATCTAAAACTGAAGGTTTTTGCTAGCCATACTAATAAAAGAGACAAATATGAAGCAGTAAATACTACCTTGTGTCCTCTGAAAGGCAACAGATACAATGGTAAGATTTGCATAGATAGAAATTGTAATAATTGTGGCGTTCATAGACTTAAAGAAATTATAGACCCTCTCAGAGTTGTCATCAAAAGATTTTCAAGAGGCAGAAGTAGGAAAATAGTTTAGTTGGATAACAGAAAAGAAAAATACTAAAAGACAAGAGTGGCACAGTTGAGGAACTGATTGATGAGCTGTCTACAGAAGTCCATTGTCTGTCTAAACATTAATTGATGCTAGTAGGCGATATCAACAACTTAAACTTTTGAAGATTAATCTCCCACAAGATTGGCTTGTTACAATATCAGATCTTAGTGAAAACAATAGGTGTAGTTTTCAGAATGAAATGCAAAGCGCCTATTTTAATTATACACATGACACACTGGTATCAGTAGTATGTTATTACCGATGTAATGTATGTCAGGAGTTAATTGAAGATACAAATATTTTTATTACCAATGATTTTAAACACGATGCACACATTGTCAATGACTGCAATAACCAATTGACCAAAGATTTGGAAGATAGAGGTTACATATTTAAGAAGATCGTTAATTTTCTGATGGTTGTGCGTCACAGTACAAATCTAAATTATTTTTTTTATGATGTTTCCAATTCAGAAAACTTTGAGGGGGCATATTTTGGAACCCGCCATGTAAAGAGTCCTCGTGATGCAGCAGGTGGCATTGTTTAAAAGGCTGCAGAAAGTGCCGTGAAATCTGGTGAATGCACAATAAGAAATGCCAAGGAAATTGACACGTTCTGCACCAGTACTCAGAGTTCACTATTGCAGGTTAACTCCATCCAGCAATTAAAATGTTCCACTGTTCATAAGTCACGACATTTCTTTACTTTGAGAACATCTCAAGGCCGAAAAGACCAAGTAATATCCAAAGGGTTGATGGAACTCAAAAACTATATTCCATAAAATATGCAAAAAATAGGTGCTGTATTAGTTCGAAAACAAACATGTTTTTGTTTGCCCTGTATAGTAGGAAGTGGTGTATGTAAACATCAAGACCATGTTGATTAGGAATTCGGATATTTGTTGCCGGACAGTATTCCTGATACCAAAAAGAGAAATAGATCACATTTAGAATCGCAAAGAAGAGTTTGGTTTTTTTTAAAAAAAGAAGCTAAATCACAATTACAGGGTTGCCATACTAGAGCTGAATTGAATAATGTAACAAGAACCCTTCCCCAGCATCGTCTCGGCTAAGACAGTTGTTGACAAATTTTCCTTAAGAGATCCTGGAAACATGACTATAAGGATTTACTTGCGAAATTAGTATGCGACCCCAAAAATCAAAATTGTATGTTACAATCATGTGAACTGATGAACTGGGGCCTTTCTGGAAGGCATTTTCGATAAAAAAAAAAAACGATGATAACATCAATTATTAACAATGGATGTATCCCGCAGAATACGGTAAACAACTGGAACCGTGAGAAATGAAGGTTATTGACTCTTGTTGTACGACTGCGGATAAAGTAAGAATACATCAGTATAATGCAAAGACGCGATCAGGGTTCCCAACAGGATTTAAAAACTAACTTGGATAATGATAAGGTTATCATTTTCTTGGATTTTGTAGACAATTATGGTTTCGTGAAATAGGATGATATCCTGGGCTTTTATTGAGGCAACCCTGTATCCTTTTGCCTCTTACATTAAGCACGACAACGATGAACTGGTATTGTGTTATATCAGACAGTTTGAGACGTGAAATGAATACTCTCCATGCTATTCTAAATTTCCTTATTCGTGATCTCAAAATACAATTTTAAAAAGATAATATATTGTATTGGCGGCCGGTGCTGCGAGCCAGTACAAAAGTTTGCTAAAGTGTGCTTGCCTTCAGACGATTCGATTACATGTCTTAAAAAGCACTTTTTATTTATTTTTTTAAACAGTATTTTTATTCAGTAAATCTGAATTTGGATTGGGTAACAGGCTATGCCTATGTGTAACCATCTCTCTGATTTAGATACATGTACACATTATAAATATATACATACATAATTACATAAATATAGGATACATAATGGATAATATAGACATTTTTTTTCAAATAAATATTTTAGTGGAAATCTATTTTAAAAGTACTGCTTGTTTATTATTATTTGTAATTTGTACTGTATTATTTGTAATTTTCTTGTCGCTAGATAGTAATATGGTGGCACGATGGTTTCTGATTTGTTCAGTGAGTTTCCACAGATAACAAGAGGTCGCGAATTTCTAATTTCAACGTTAAGTTTGTTCAATTCTCGTATACTTGAAGGGGTAAAGACTGAGAAAATTTTGGTTCTGCATCTGATTTCCTTTAGTTTATTTTTGTTTCTAATAGTATAATTACTAGGAGTTCTAATAGATCAGAGAGATATATGATGGCGCTAGGATGTTAATAATTTTATACATTAATTTTAATTTATAACGTCGGCGACTGTCCGAGGGTGGAACACACCCAGTGGCTTTATA